AATATTACAATATTACAGAACTGTTCTTGTTAATTTGATGAAAACATTTTAAATTTCCAGTGCACTCACATTAGAATAACTTATAGATTTGTTGTTAGAATAATCGATTAATCGAAAAAATAATCATTAGATAAATCGATTAGAAAATAATCGTTTGGTACAGCACTAAAAAACACACATTATCATTAGTGCCATGTTGTAAAATTACCATTTGTGTAACAGTTCTGAGATTTTGTTTATTCAAGAAAACCTGTTGTTTTTTTTCCAGAAAATACTCCTGTCAGCTTATGTTTAATGCTCATTACTAATTGGCAATCCTTTACTAAACCAATTAACCAGGCATCAGTGGCCATATTAATACAAGTGTAGCACACACAACTACTTGAGTTTTTTTTTATTATTAATTTAAATAGTGAATTGCACTCCTGAACTGTTACATTTTGTCAAGTGTAACACAAAGTGAATATTTGGCAAAAGTATGAGTTCCTGAATAATACTGTCTCACATACAAAGTATTTTGTCTGAAAGCAAGTTATGTATGATTGGATAGAGCTGCAAAGGAAAAGCTCTCCATAACTGCAGTGAAATACTAATCTAATGTCAATGAGAACAGAAAAACAGAACACATGCCATTCAATAGACTAAGTTTGAAGATGTCAGTCTGGATGTCACTGTGGTAATGATGTGAGATTAAGTTAAAAGAGGCATCAGTACCATTGTGTACTGTTGAGGAGGAGAAACTGGCAGGAGAACCTGGGGACAGGAAGGGCTGGAGTAGGAGACAGGTTGAGAAGGCTGTAGAGACGCCACCGGCTATACACACCCCAAAAGGAAAAGGAAAGACAGAAGCAGAACATCAGGAAAGTGAAGCAAGGCAGTGAGAAGGGCACCAGAAAAAGCTGAAAAGTCAGGGGGAAAGGTTAAAGAAAGACAGGAAAAATGGAAAATATAACAAAGTGGAGAACTTTTTTATGAGCAAAAATGATGAAAATGGAAATAAAGGTTTTATGCAAATACAACCTATGCACAAAGAAAAAATGTATTCCTAAGAAAAACATAAGAAAAGTAATGTCTGCTTACTAGAAGCAGAGGTTCCCAAAGTTGGGGTCGGGACCCACAATGGGGTCCTGAAAAGGTTTTCTGAATTAATTATATTAGAAAATAACAACTAACAAATTTTTTTTTTGCCTTTGTTGTCACAAAAGAGTAAGGTTAGTGTACTTAAAATCGACAAAAATAGCATAGTGAATATTTTTACTATGCACTTATTTTTTTGACGCGAAAACAATGTTCGTGATCCGGGGGCTCAGGTCTCTGCTGCTGGTATTTTGAGGGTCCAAGGCTGAAAAGTTTGGGAACCACTGCTGTAAAGCGTGCACCAACATAAAAACACAAAAACTAAACTCCTCTGTAGTTGAAGACTCGTGAGCATTACAACATTTTTACAATATTTAGTTTTCCAACACAAAAGAACCACCTAGTTAGAAAAATATTTAACTCAAAAATGGAGCTGAATAATTCGTCTGTAACAGCATACTATTTTATTAGTTTTGATATGGCTGGTAGATGAGGTTCTTACCTGAGCAATCATGTGGTTGCCCATGGGGTGTTGCTGTGGGGTGGGTAGCAGGGCTGTCTGTGGCGGAGCTTGGGCTGGTGGCTGTTGTGGCTGAGATGAGCAGGGAATCAGGCTACGGCTGGACTGGGAAGGTGTGGGTGGGGGACACACATCAGGACAGACCAGGGGCAAGCCTAGCAATGCAGAGAAAAACAAGACAGAATCAAAGAAAGATACAAGTTTTTAGATTTAACAAGACAAAAACTAAAAAATTTTAATATTTTAAAACACGTTCAAACACGTAATTAAGAGTATTTGTTTTAAACTGTGTTTAACACACAACCACATTAGCTGACTAATAAACAGAATAAAATATTTTTTTAGGTCAGCACATTGTGTTAATAAACCTGATATGGTATCATTTTTGCATTGTTAGAAATTTCACGAGTCATGACAAAATTCCCCTAAACAGAAAATTATTTGTTTTCAATTCACTGATTTATTGAAATTCTATGCTTTCCTTGATTCTCACTTTTTTTTTCTAAAATGTAAAATAAAATAATACCCAAATGCAGTTAAAAACAAACAAAAACTCCAGGTATTTCTAATATGCAGAAAACTGAGAATACATTCAATTTATACACAGAAGAATTAAGGGTGCAACGATACAGAAAATTCACGATTCGGTTCGGTTCGATTCTTTAGTCTCACGGTTCGATATWTTTTCGATACAAAAARRRRAAWKTYCWWKSCCCYTTTWAMYTKKWAWTTWWTTWAAWTWAWTWWKRAMMWTTKKTTWAMCYCAAAAGTACAGTTTTTAAATTAAATKTTGCTGAAACAGCAAGTTTCTCAGTGGATCTGCGCTCAAAAATGCAGCCTAGGTGGAGTAGTCGAACACAGATCCACTGATCCTTCAACATAGAGCATCTTCAGAAGACCTGTTGATAAAGTAAATTTTAAAAATCTGTATTGTTCGATGCAAGTGTGTATTGAACCTAAAGCAGAGATTCTTAACCTATGGGCCGCGGTACAATTGTGGGCCGTGAGCGCCACCATGAGGGCCTCAAAAGAACAACAGTTTTTAACTTTGGGCCGCAGAGGGCTGTGGGACCGCATTGATTTTGAATAAGGTGCAATACACTTTCTCACCACTATTAGCAGTAATGTGCCACTAAGATGTTTAATGACTATTTAATAAGTAGAAAAAGAACCTCATAAACCTGCTGAGAATGGAAGCCTATTTTAAATTAAAAGTAGAAGCAAAAATGAAGGTAACCCATCAAAAAACACCAAAGTTTGTCACTAATATGAAGTGCAGCTTCTGTTTTTACCAAGCAATATTTTAAAAGTTCAAAACATTATCAAATACAGTTGCACATACAATATTTTAATATGCACTTTAAATTAATTTTTGTAGTTTATTTTTAAATATTTTGAATGTATTTTAAAGAAATTTTAAACTTGTCAAAAGCTGTTGTTACCGTTATTGTTTGTTCTAATATGAAGAGCAACTTCTTGTTGCAAAAGTTTAAAAATGCTATAAATCCATTTGTACTTTATTAAATTTATTTTACAGTTTTTTTATTTGAAACATCTACATTAAACATTTTTTATTTATTTATTTTATGTCCATAATTTTAGTTTTTTGAATTGTCTATTTTTTTATTGTTCATATTAAAAATATAGATTTTTGTGCTGATAAGCCTGAGTGGTCTGTAAAGATGAGGTCTCAAGAGAGGTCTGTAATGACTGACCTTTGTATTTGTTCAAATAATTGTTGTGGGCAGGTTACAATATAAAAATGTTTGTCATAATCATGTCTTGTGATTATTTGACAGGAGTTTTACTTTTAAACTGTAAGTGTATTCAATTTAGTTATGATAGTTATGCTAGTTTAGTTATGATGTAAATACAATAAAAATAAAACCAAGATTTAGAAAAATTATCATTTTTGATCCATACATTGTTAATGTCTGACTGGGCCTCGTGCCACTTTATGTTCAACAAATTGGGCCCTGAGGTCAAAAAGGTTAAGAACCCCTGATCTAAAGCACTGTTCGATACGAGTATATGTATTGTTGCACCCCTAAGAAGAATGTTGTTTTATGGGGGGAAAATGATGTTTTTCTTTCAGGGTACTGCATTGAAAATTATGTTTGAATTATATTTTAAGATACTTTTTTTAAATAGCAACTGACAGTCTAGCACTGTTTGTGTTTTGGTTTGTTGTTGGTCTTATGCTAATTAGTCTTTTCACTTTAGTTTATTATGCATATGTCCCAGTCTTCTTTAAAGTGTTTAAACCAGGGAAACTCAAACCTTTTGGGTCTGGGGACCCCTTACAAGGGCAAAAAAAATCCAGCGACCCCCTCATAAATCCCATGCTATTTTAAAAGATAATTTACTGTCATTTCAACCCATAAACGCCATAGGAATATATATTTTTATTTATTTTATTATGTTTGTTTTATTAGTTCATTGTTCCCTATGCATTTTTAAAAATAAAATCCAAATTAACAATTTAGTGAATTTTTTTTGAGGACCCTAAAGAAACCTCTCACGGACCCCTGGGGGTCCTGGGACCCCAGTTCGCAAACCTCTGGTTTAAACCACAAGAGTTTCAGACTACTTGTGTAATGTGTTTTGTTGCTACAAAAATATAAATGTCTGTGTGAAAATGAGTCATGGGCTTCTCTTGACGTCTTGCATGCAGAAACTGAAAGGCCTAATGGATTTACCAAATAGCAATTTACTGAGATTACAAAAATAAAAAACATGCCATTTTATTGGCAAATTCTAAAATCTTGATGAGAGTTCCTAACATATTAAGTACTATTTCACCTGTAAGAACACCCGTGAAGGAGTTTGACTTTCTAGTCAAATATTTCTTTTAGAATTTAATCTCATTTTTTTTAACTGAGTAACCCTTTAATTGACCATTAGATTTCATTGTGGTTTTTGGCTCAAAGAAATAGAAAAACAAGACTATTTTTCTTCAAACAAACAATTATAAAAGGTAGTTTGAATTTGGGATCATACAGAACTGCATATTTTGAAATATCTTTCAATAAATGCCAGTGAGTCACATCTGTAAAATGGCTTAATGGTAAAATCAAAGAGACGAAAAACAAGACATTGCCAGTAAATACGTTTTAAGAGTTTATGTATGTTATATTATGGGTAATGATTGGTAAAAGCTACTCGAGGTTAGACTGAAGGACATTTGCATTTGTCTTTTTCATCCCATCTGCTCTTACCAGAGCGAGAGCCTTTGCAGCTTCCCTGTGATCCTTTGTTGCTGCCAAGGCTATCCCCTCTGGTGAGGATGGAGATACCAGAGAAACTGCTGGCTTTAGTCACAGGTGGACGGAGGGTGCGGTTGGAACTGTCTGAGTCGGTGCTGCTCCAGGGCCGTGGCTCCAGGCACTTCATGTCACTGTCTGTGCTGCTTTGACGACTGCTAGATGCCCGGCTGGAGCTTTCGCGGTTCCCTCTAAGAGACGGCAAAACATGGAAGAGATTATATGACATGTAGAAAATACAAACAGATTTCAACTTTTAAAGTAAAACAGTAACAGCTAATAAGTGAGGTATGTGCAAATTGCAAAGGAGGAAATCAGGCAGCCAGAACAAATAAGTAAAAAAACATTTACGGGGAGATGAGCAATGTATAGAAAGGAGGAGGATGTGTCCACTGAAGAACAAAAGGTGTGTTGGTGGAGGAACAAAAAAAAGGAATATGCAGGAAAAAAAAAACAAGAGCAGAATAAAGTCTTCAATTGCTCAACAACACACAGACAGGGTTTAGAGAGAACTTTTAATAAAGATGCATATTGGGTAGTTCAGGATAACCACAATACAATTGCAGGCAACATACCCAAAAGATTATTTCCATTTTTTTCCAATATACGACCACACACACACACACACACACACACACACACACACACACACACACACACACACACACACACACACACACACACACACACACACACACACACACACACACACACACACGAAAAACACACATGCAGGGAAAGATGCCTTAAACACCAAGGTTGAAAGGATATTTCAGTGACAAGATGAGGCATACATTCATAACACATAACACACAAGGTCTAAGATTGTGGACACAATTTGCCAAAAGAAATCTACAGAATGAGGACTTGCAAAGGTTCTGTGTTAAACATTTAAATCCAAGTAAAACCCATGCAACCAAAATTAAAAAGGATGACAAATGTGACAGTTATGAACACCAAATCTCCATAAAAACTGTCACACATGAGAAGTTCTTTTACATCCCAGCATCACACATCACCTACAAAACATCCACCTAAATTGTGTTGTGTACACACTTATTGAGTTGTGATACTGTCATCCTGGGAAGGGTAGCTGTTCACAAAATCTATTAAACTGCAAGAGCAACCAACACTAAAAGTTCTGGCCCCTTGCAAGTGAGTAGCAGCTGGCTGTTGCATATTAAAATTAGCAATACTTTTGCATTTAAAAATGTAATATATGCTCGCAGATTACAAAAATCAATTAATGTTAAAATGGTATCAGAGGAATTAACACAAAAGTAAAAAGGCGGCACAGGGTTTTGCAGAATTAAATTACAACTCTGATGAGAGCAGAAGGGGGGAAACAATACTGGCAAAAAGAGATACTAGCTGTGAACAACTGTTTTTTGTGATCTCAGAGGTGGAAGATAAGTATGAGTAGAGATCATTCATGTGAAGAAAACAAGAAAAATGAATCTAAAATATCCAAGACAGTTTTAGAAATATCCATCAAATAGCCGGATTTTAATTAGAATCGTAAAACACTCTTTTAGTAAAAAGAGTAGTGTATTATGGCAACTGTGGGTCATAAATATTTTAGATACTGTAATTAATGGAGGACCTATTTTGAGGCTACACTCTGCACAACCTATTTTAAGGAAGGGTGGGTGCTACGACATTCTCTGAATATGCTGGCAGATACTTGTTTGCTCTACAGACAAAGATGGCACCAGGCTTTGCAAAAGAAAAAGAAAAGATGAGGAGGAATGGGACTCTGCTCTTGATCACCCAACATTTTAGATTTCATTCTCTTCTCACACCAGCAACTTCACTTAACAAGAAAGCTATAACCACTTTAATGCTGTAATGTGTCACAGGAAAAAAAATGCAACCTGTTCTCACCAAATCAAAAACATTGTTGCTTTTTAACATATATTGTTTATGCATCAGAGGCTATGCATTTATTAAGTTTTGAGTCCATATACTGTTTCTCTCTCTTACATAAGCAACAGTTTTTTTTATTTTGATGTGCACTGAATGGCATACACAACAACATAGTTTTTATCTGCATTGACCTAGTAAATTAGACTAATTAGTAGAAATCGTAAATTGTGAGCACTGATTATGTTTGTGTGTGCTTGTGTGTCAAAATGAACTTGTTGAATGAGCCAAAGCAATCATTTACAAATGCCTTCTGGCAAAAGCATGCGGCAAGGTCTGAAATACACAAAACCTGATGTTATTGTCTTGAATGTAGGAGACGAGAAAGGCAGCAGTAATTACTGCCAGACAACTGTGTCTGAGACACTGCCAACATTTTGAAGCTTTTCCACTCAGTGTTGGTGAGAACTTGCCGACACTCATCAGTGACAGGAGGACAAATCACAATCAGTGAAATAATGTATTGAGAGGTGCTAGAAACAAGTCTGATCTTATGTGTTGCACTTAAGGAATCAGCTATTGAAATGCTGCGGCTTGTTGTAAACATTTGATTCAAATAGACAGACAGCATGTTTGGGTATTATATTTGGAGTGTTTCAGATACAAAATAAGGAATGTCTGATAATCGCCTTAATGGTTTAAAATCCAGAGACAACCTAAGACAAAATGGTGACAGTTTAACAAACTCATGATCATCTCACAGTGTGACTGCTGCTACAAACTGTAAACTCACTGATAGGGAAGGAGTAAGACAATGCAACACTGGTGCTACTATGGAAAAGCATGGGTACATGTGAAAGTCTGGGATATGTATTAAATAAAAGAGTAAATGGAGGTTAAAGATGAAAAATTTAATATTTAAAACTCTAACAAAGTAATAAAAGATCGGAGTGTTCATACAGGTCTTGTTTGGATTATTTTATTTCCGTCCTCAAACTGCTGTCATAACTACAGTAAATAAACTACGGTCAATAAGAGGAAATATGGAAAACAAATGTCATGCATTATGGTCTTTGGTTCAATAGCCATTACGAATTAGTCTGAAAATTACAGAAATTACAAAAGACTTAGAAACTGTTTTGACTGTTTCAATATTTCACACGATTTCAGAAGACAAAATATTTGCTGTTAAGAGCACATTCATCAAAACTGAAAACAAAAGATGTCAAAAAGCTGTCAATTTGTGCATTAAAAAAATTCTAGACATATTAATTTACAAAAATTTGTTTGTTTTCAGTTCAAATCTATTTCAATTTTAGAACGAGTGGCAACACTTCATGCACTAATATATATTGATTAAAAAAAACATGAAAATTCAACCACTGAACTGTTTACTTGTGAAAGTGATGTTGTTTACCTTGGATAAAAATGTGACCAATGGTGGATAGGTGAAGGGGTAAATAGATTAATCAATTCCCAGTGAAACCACAAAGCAGCCATGCATGAGCCATTGGAGGCCCCAAGGTGCAATGCTAGGATAGCCATTTATCAGCCGATTACACCAAGCAAGGATAATCATCACAATCACCACTGTCATCACCAAACCACTTTCAAAAATGGGCATAGCAACACACTCGTCAGTCAGCAGCACCCCAATACCTAAAAATCTGCCTCCTCTTTTGAGAGCTAGAGCAGTAGCCCTCAGTGGAAAGTCTGTTGGGGTTAACATTAGGAGAAAACGCTCAAGTTACAAGTTTATTGAAGAACAGGAGAAGGCTTAAAGAAAACTGAGATAAAGAAGGGTGGGAGGTTGAGGTAGTCACTGTAAAAGAACTTTTACTCCTGAGAAAAAAGAAATGGGGAAAAAAACAGCACACAAGACAGAAATTTGACTCATGAATAGCCCACGCTTCCTCTTTGTCTCCCTCTCAGCATATTAGGCCCTTATCTTTCAAGCTGAAAGGTTAGGTTCTGTAGGGCTGGACAATGACTGTAAGTGCTGTGTGAGCTAACTCACTCCCACACCAGTGCAATTTTACCCTTTTTAATTTTAAGGACTTTTCCCAGAGTTCATTTTAATAATAAAAAAGTGTCGATTTTAATTTTAATGCAAAATTCAAGATAATACAAATGCAGAATTGATCAATTTTACGTAAAATTAGAAGTGTTTTATGGTCTATAGCTCTCCATCTTTCAAATTAAAAATTAAAAGACTATCAATTATTGAGAAAATGGAAAGTATCCAGTGGAATTCATCCTCTTACCTGTTGTCATTGATGTATCCATTTTGTGACGACTGTAAAAAGAAAGACACCTGCACATTATGAAATGTGTTGTTATATTAAGAGTAAAAGTTCTTTACATTTAAAAATCACTTATTAAAAAGGGTACAAACAGAGGGTCAACAATAACAATCTGCAAACTTAATTCAGATTGCTCCAAAGCAATTTTTATCAATAATTATATGCATGAAGAGAGAACGAAAACATATTTACATTTACCGTATATTTGAACTAATTCACTATGAGTTCATAACAAAACCTAATCTGCTTAAAACAAGTGCTTGTTGCTGCTCTGTTCAGGGTTAATACTTACTTCTCGGGCAAAAATCCGGTCTCGTACCCGCTGATACTCTTCTTCTCTCTCTTCAATCGACTTGCTACGCCTCCCGTCCTGCAGTGGCACACGAATCTAACATTTGGGAAGACAATAATCAAGAAGTCAGATCTGCCAGTAAAATGTTGAAAATGTAAAAGAAAAATGCATGTAATGTTTACAAAACAATCAACTTACCTGATTATCATCTTTGTCCATACTAGCATCGTCTCTTTTAAGAATGAATTTCTTTTGAAAGTCCATATTACGTTCATCCTTTATGTGTTCAGAGAACCTTTGTTCTGGGCTGTGTAAAAAAATGTTAAATGTTTTTATAAAGGCTTACAAAGTCACAGTATTTAGAAATGAAAACAGCAACATAATAAAGTTTAAATGTTACTTTACAGACAGTGTAACAATGTAATAACATTAGAATATGAACCCTTTCCAGTGTTTATTTCAGTTTTTATTTGATATGCCTCATCATTTTGAACTGATGTGAAAAACCTTAAAAACTTAAAAAAATACAAGTTTGAAACTATTGATAACCAACTTTTATCACAAAAAATCTAAACTAAAATCTAAGCCATCATTTCACTATGATAAAATGATAAATAAAAGGCAAAATGTATTTATGAATGTTGAAACAGAACCAAAAAGATGACAGTGTAATCACATTTAGAAGTTGTTAAATGAGTTCACGTTCTGAACAACTAGAGTACTACAACCCCTGGCAAAAAGTATGGAATCACCAGTCTTGGATGAGCACTCATTCAGACATTTCATTCTGTAAAACAAACTCAGATCAAAAACATGATACAATAATAAGGTCATTCCAAAGTGCAACTTGTTGGTTTTCAGGAACACTCAAAGAAATGAAGAGAAAACATTGTGGAAGTCAGTGAATGTTACTTTTATTGACCAAGTACAGGGAAAAAATATGGAATCACTCAATTCTGAGGAAAAAAGTATGGAATCGTGAAAAACAGATAAACAAATTCAAAATACATCACTAGTATTTAGATGCACCACCTTTGGCTTTTATAATGGCTTGCAGTCTCTGAGGCATGGACTGGATGAGTGACAAACAGTATTCTTCATCAGTTTGGTGCCAACTCTCTTTGATAGCAGTTGCCAGATCAGCTTTGGAGGTCGGAGCCTTCTTGTGGACCATTTTTTCCAATTTCCACCACAGGTTTTCAATTGGGTTGAGATCTGGACTATTTGCAGGCCATGACATCGAATGAATGTGTCTTTCGCCAAGGAATGCCTTCACTGTTTTTGCCCTATGGCACGATGCATTGTCATCTTGGAAAATTATTTCATCACCTCCAAACATCTGTTTAATTGAAGGGATGAGAAAACTGTCCAAAATGTCAATGTAAACTTGTGCATTGATAGAAGAATGAACCACAGTCATCTCCACAGTGCCTTTGCCTGACATGCAGCCCCATATCATCAAGGACTGTGGAAATTTGGTTGTTTTCTTCAGGCAGTCCTCTTCATAAATCTCACTGGAACGGCACCAAACAAAAGTTCCAGCATCATCACCTTGTCCAATGCAGATTCTTGACTCATCACTGAAGATAACTTTCATCCAGTCATCCACAGTCCATGATTGCCTCTCCTTAGCCCATTGCAGTCTTGTTCTTTTTTGTTTAGGTGTCAATGATGGTTTTCTTTTAGCTTTCCTGCATTGAAATCCCATTTCCTTCAGGCCATTTCTTCCGGTTCGGTCACATACATTGGCTCCAGCTTCCTCCCATTTATGCTTCATCTGTTTAGTTGTACTTTTTCAGTTTTCAAGACAAATGGCCTTAAGTTGTTTGTGTTGATGCTTTGATGTTTTTCTTGGTCTACCAGTATGCTTGGCTTTAACAACCATTCCATGCTGTTTGTATTTGGTCCATATCTTGGATCTTTTTTTCCTCAGAATTGAGTGATTCCATAGTTTTTTCCTCAGAATTGAGTGATTCCATATTTTTTTCCCTGTGCTTGGTCAGTAAAAGTAACATTCTCTGACTTCAATGTTTTCTCTTCATTTCTTTGAGTGTTCCTGAAACCAACAAGTTGCACTTTGGAATGACCTTATTATTGTATCATGTTTTTGATCTGAGTTTGTTTTACAGAATGAAATGTCTGAATGAGTGCTCATCCAAGACTGGTGATTCCATGCTTTTTGCCATGGGTTGTACCAAGTCAAAAACAGTTCTCACATGCGTGTGTTGCCTGTCTTGTTGATGATGACAGCCTTTCCTGTCTGATCTACATTGTGATCCATGCCAAAGTAGGCAGCCACACGGTGCAGCAGCATTCGATGATAAGAAGTCATCTGAGGAAACTTCTTGTACTGGTTACTGCAGGGGACAAAAGTAGGTTATTTAGACACCGTTACAAAAAGTTCTTTACTGTCAAATTACTCTTTGCTTAATGCTGAATGTGGTCTTTTTAAATGTCTTATTTTGGGTATTTATTTTGGGAAGTGACTTCTAATGCAAAAAACTTTACCCTGTACATATTAGCATCAGTTACTAGTTGACTTGCTCAGTTTGACTCAGAAATAAACAAATACCCAATAAATGCAAGTGGGGGTAAATTTAGGTGCACGTGTTATGACAACTAGACTCACTTATTGTCGTTGATGAACTCCAGGATATCTTGTTCTAGTTTAAGCAGCATCATTCGATCCCTAGCGGGTAAAAAAAAAAGACAAAAAGGACGACACTACTGATAACAGAATTTCAGTGAACTAAAGTCACAGTCTGCAAGTGATGACAAAATGTTCAGTCAAAGAAAAGTTTAAGATGATATTTATTTAATGTTCATTAGTATTGTTACAATTGATGATCATACCTGGGATTGTTTTTCAGTGTGTTGACCAAAAACTCATGAACATCGATGCCTGTGGAGTCAGTGTATTCCTGACTGGAGTCTAAAAGAAATACATTTTTAAAAAGTTAAAAAAAAAACTGATAAAACTATTTTCTTTAAGTCAAAGTGAAAGAGAAAAAACAAGACTTAAATCCATTTACGTTTGAAATGCTCAGCATTTAATTCTAAAACATCCTCCCAACATCTTAGTAATGATATATAGAGTTATTGAGAAGGGAAAAACAAAAAAGTAAGAGATGTAATAAGCTAGCTGGTCTAGTACTAAGTGTGCACACACCACACAAGCATATTCTTTAGAGAAACATTTTCCACTACATTAGATAGTTGGATGAGTAATTTCATTCAGTATAATGACAACTGAGGGAGCTAGCAAAAAGACAATAAGTTAAGCAATTAAGAAAATGAAGAGGAAGGATCTTGTTTTTTTTATACCCATTCTGAACTCAGTAATTTGAGCATTGCAAAACAAATAACAGGACAGAAAAGATAAAATGTTTTGACTTATTTTACCAGTGATAATGGTATTTAGCATAAAAAGCCTTAAAAGGCATACTATCCAGTGATACAACCCTAATAATTAGACATCAGTTGAGATTTTGATGAAACACCAGCATGTTGTAGGAGGACATTGTGGGACATCAGTAATGAACAAAAATATTTAGATTTTTTTTCCACCAAGGTCTTACAATCATACCAACAGAATATCACAAAGATAAAAATGATCACTGATCTAAATAATTTCTTAATAACCCACGAGAAGTGTAAAGCATTTATCTGTAGTGATACCCTTTCAAATATTCATTTCACTTTTTCTTCTTGTTTTGCTGTTATCAGAGTGTTTCTGTGGGTTGTGACCTTGATGTCAAGGATGATTAGCCACCAGACAATGTCATAGCTCACACACACATAAAATAAACATAAAACAAACAAGCTATTGAGTTGAGTAAAACGAATTGGCAGATTTAAGCTGGGACATCAGTTTGCTTGCTGCCCTTCCTCTTGAGCTCAGAAGGATGTTTAAGGGGAAGCGTTTATGTTGCATATCGGCCTAAAGACTAAAACACACCAATTTGTCATTCAGTCTCAAAGGAGTAAGAAAGACTTCCTTAATACCAACTATTACCACAAAATTTTAACTTACCACGTGACAACATCTTTCGAGGAGTCTTATCCTTCTTCTCTTTTTCTTCATTTTCATATTCGTCCTTTGAGGACTTTTCCTCTTCTTTGTCTGATGGACAGCTGATGTGAAGCTGGATGATATCCTGCAAAAAATTGCAGTCAATAATATGAATCTTTAACAAAAATGGATGCAAAGTTTTTTTAACTAATTATTTATTTAGCTCATAGAAAACAAAACAGCATCCAAACAAATGTAAGCTTGTATAATTTGGTTAGAAAAGAAAAAGTACCGATTCTGGAGGTCCATCGGAGAATGGACCAGACGACTCTTCACATACTGCAAGACTCCGTACCAGCTTTACTTTGGCATTAGACTGCAACATATTCAAATTATATAATCCATAATCCTGGTTTTAAAACTTTTCTTACAAAAAATTGTTCACGATATTTAAAAAAAGCAAACAGTGTTAGCTACTTAAACTACTGTACCGTGAAAAGAGTAAACTTTATTTTTTTCTCTTAAGAAGTAAAGCTTTAAAATAGATTAGTAGTGATTTTGTGCATCCCTAACATAGTTACATTTGTAAAACCAAACGTTATTCCATTTAAAATGTTTAAATGTTATTTGTCTCTTTTTTGTCTCAGAGTTCCTTTGTCACACTGTTTTTCTGAGCATAAATGAGACTTTGCTTTATGTTATAAGTTCTCATAGGGTTTTAAAACATACTTAAATTCCAAATGAATTTGTATTAGACTTTCCTTAAAATAGATGAGCTGAAAAACAATATTGCAAACTGAAAGATAAGAGGAAGTCACTGCAAATTATGTAATAAAACTAGGAGCACAGTGAAACTAGGACAACCAAACTCCAAGAAAATAAATGTTTACAATGACTGATTTTTTTTTGGCCCCCAGACATTATGATTAGCATGATTTGTACCACTAGAAAATGTTTATGGGTTAAGGGTTTATTTGATATGAATGATGGTGGTTTGCTAACAGAGTTCAGTAAATATTATGTAAGTGCCACTTAAAATGGTGCAGTGCAGTACCTTACATAAATGACTCAATTCAACATATTTATCAGATTATTCATAAAACATTTAGATTTTAATCTAACGGATATTGGTGTTTTCCTAAAGCCCTAATAAGGTCACTAGCACATTTACTCTAAGCTGTTTTGTGAAATCTAAAATAATTGACCTATGAAATGAAGAAAGGCAGTTCACTTAAGCAAAAAATTATAAATTTTTTTAATGGTTGCTATACTTCACAACACATCTAAAACGAGGTTATTAAAAGGGTGATAATAAAGTAACATGTACATTCGCAAAAAAGGAACTCATCTCACTAAGTCTACATTCACACTGCGGGCAAATGCAACCCAAATCCATTTCTTTTTTAGCCCCATGTAACCCATATCGGACTTTTTCATTCATGAAAAAGTCTGATATGGGTCGCACAGTCTGAATGTGAAAAATCTGATTTTTTTCAAATCCAACCCAGGCCTTTTCAGTATGTGGTACTGAATCAGAAGCATATCTGATGTTTTTCAAAGCGATGGCAGTCTGAACACTCTTGTCACATCTCATCTGACTTTTATATCTGTTAGGTGGGGGTGAGCGGATTTATCCAATAATGATATCTCCAGCCATTCAATCTTGTGACTCCACATCTTCAGCTACAGAACAGAAGTCAAGTTGCCTTGTTTTGGTTCTTTCTATTTTCTGTGTCCTGGATGACTGAGAATACACAGAAACACGATAGTAACATCCAACGTCTGCCATGGACCATAGTGATACAAAAGTTACTTGATCATACTTTACTTTTAGCAGATCCATGTAGCATCCATGTTTAGCTACTTCTGTAAACACAGCAATCCGAGTGTGACGTTACGTCATCCTCTGTGCATGCTGGTTGCATCTGGGCCAAGGAACGTTCATACTGGAGTCTGATGGAGGCCGTATTTAAAATATGTGAACGTTCTTGCAAAATACATAATATATATATTTATATATATATATCTCAGACTTTTGCAAAAAGTTGGAACTGAGCATTAAGACCTGCAGTGTAAACGTAGCCTAATAAATAAATGAATAAAGTAACTGACTACAAATCACTTACCTTGGCCCTTTTCCTGCCATGACTGTGGTTAGGAGGTCGTTTCTAAAAATATAAATAAACACAAGGATTTTACTGATGAGCTGCAAATACATTTTTCACACGGAATTTAATAATGTTGTATGCACATGAACTTCAGATGCACCCATTTGGAAAGAGACTACAGTTTATCAATAGTATGCAAGTTGAAATTTAATTTTATTCAGAATGTTTGCAATAAAAAAAATAAAAAAATAAAACCCATTTTATTTTTAAATGTTTTATATCATTGAAAAAATAAGAGAAGAAGCTCTACATGGAATTATCTGTTACTGACATCCAAAATTTTACAAAAGCTGGTTTATCTGAAACCTCAAAATTCCATTACAAAGAATTTTACAAAAAATATATTTTCTATGTAAATAGTTGTGTCAAGTAGATGCTGCAAACAAGCATGTATATTAAATGCATGATTTTAAACAAGGGGTCACTCAAACACTGATTTATAGTGGTGATTTTTAAATCTCACTATTTTTCTTGTCTCTGATCTCCAAATGATGCTCAACTGCATACTGACAATTCCTCACACAAAGAGCAAATAAGATGTAGATTCAAAGCGGAAACCCCAACTGACTTTAGGCAATGTCTTATTCAACATACAGAGGAATATACTTAGCATGACCAAGTGGAAATACAATATCCCCAATTTTTAACCCCCAGCTGAATAAATGCAATTTCTATGCAGGTTCCTCCCAGTCAACCCAAAACATTTATTTTACTGGTTATGATTTTAATAATGATACTGTTACTAAAATCTTATTGGAGAAAAAAATGAAATCTAGCCTTAATTCTACCAAGTTTAGTAATTCTGCTGAGTAAATAGTACTTTCAAAGTACTGATTTTATTACAGGACATGTAAATGAGTTAAAGTTTATAATTTCCGCAAGTATTTATATTGTATTTATGCCCACCTGTGAATCCTGTGGAGAGCTATCTTCTGGCTCCAAGCACTCCGTTCCATCCTTGGTACCCTGTGGTTGAGGGGAGCTTTTGCCTCGGCTGCAGGGCTCGATATGTGGCCCATTCTCTCCCTCCTGCTGGATGTCTGTTGTCAGGCTCACTGACATCTTCTTATGGGAGGGGAGAGGGTGGGAGTGGGGAGGGGGCTGGGTGGAGGACCCAGGAGTGGCTGTGAAAAAAAAACAAAGAGGCATGGCATCAGAAGAAAATTCTGAGTTCTGTCATAATATAAAATTTTAATCAACAAAGGACCCCTGACAAAAAGGGAGAGAAACAGAAACAGTTTTAACTCAAAATTACCTGTAGGTGGTACCAGGTCTATGCTGGATTATGTACAGGAGTGTGGACAGGAACCACACACAAAAGTTGAAAGGGACCCACTAAGGTAGTGTACTGGGGTGGGCTGCAGCGGGGGGTGAAGAACAATCCATGGCACGCCTCAGCTGTGTGGATAGAGCTGCATGAGAAACAAATCAAAAGAAAAATGTACTAATGTGTTAAAATGTGATAACTACTTAATGC